TGATTGAAATTCCTCTAAAAGAGAAAGAATGTCCCAAGAGGTCATTCAAAAACAAGCACAGGAAGGCAAGGTATGGAGTCAAATAGGTATAGGAAGCTCTAAGAAGATGACTACAGCAAGTAGCAAGCTAAACAAAACAATGAATATTTAGGAACACAATTATGTCACAAATGAGGTTTTCCGTTATAATTTTTATTTGAGGAAATAAAAAAACAAAAATTTTTACAATTCTTCAACTATACAAACCATTTTGTTATAAGTGACTCTAAACAGGAAAAAGAAATAAAACAGAATAAAAGAGGAAGTGCCTTTATAGGCAATCTCCTGCCTACCTCATTCCCTCGAGACACCTGTGTGTATTCCCACACATACATCCAAGCACACATGCACACACAGGCATCCTTAGTCACAAGACCATTCTCATGAATTTAGGGTTTAATCTTTCCATTCATTTCACAGCTCAGGTTATCTACACATGTTTACATATCTAGATCAAGTCTATTTAGGGGAGTTTGAAATGCAAGGATAATATGTAATTGCTAATCACAATCTCTTAATTCTTAATGATTTGTGATGTCTCATGAGGATTTTTGTACTTAGATTGCCTTTTGCTTATTCCAAGTATGGTAGTTTCCATTATACAAATATATTTGAATATATATCTCATATGTCTGCACTTATCCAATATGCCTACTTGTTCTATTAATGATAAGGTATTTGCAATCAGAGGCCCACTCACAAATGCCTATGTACCATGGAAATTTGTTCCTGCACTACTCCTTTCATCACCTCTTGGGATCTCTGTGTCTGCTACTCCAGTCCAAATAGGCAAGACTCCGCAGTGCCTACTTATATTCATGGCTTGTGCAGCAGAAAAAGGTTATATTATTATGTAGGCTTTGTGTCTGGTTTTAATTGAATATTAAATGTATACACTCTTGTCAGCCTTTCAACGTTTCCTTAAGATAGAGGAACTAGTCTCATTATAAAGATAGGGCCGCTGAGACTGTGAAAGTTTCGTGTCATTATTGTTGTGAGTAGATAAGGGTTGAGAGGTACCAGGTCCAAAATGTTAAAAAAATAAAACTAAAAATATAGTCTGTTCTTGGCTTTAGTCACCAGATGGCCTCCTTTCAAAAGCAAACAATCACACAAACAGGTAAAACACAGGCCCCAGAAGACTCTGCATGAACTACTTCCGAGTCTCTGAGAACTACTTCCGGTAGTTCTGAGAACTGCTTTTGCTTCGGGTTTTCAGTGGGGGGGCCACACGGGACCAAGAATGTGCCTAACACTGTGGAGGGGAGTGGGAAAGTTCCAGAAATGGGGTACTTGACTTTAAAGTCATATGAGGTGAGTACCAGACAGCTGGGAGTTAGCAGCAGATTGCAGCCATAAATCTGAGAGGTGGAGCTTGATTTTCACAATGCTCCATGTAGACGAATCTTTCCAGCTGTCCCAACAGTAACCTATGGGAATGAGGAAGAGCCAGGAGTGCTCCAGAGGCTCACCCTCAGACTTCAATGGAAGCAGTTCCACCTTTACCAGAGGTTTCAGAGAAGTTTTGTTTGAGAAACTTTTAAAGTATGTGCCCACTTGATCCAGTGGTAGTGACCGACTGAAGCACTGTGTTGAAATACTGAGGTCATTTCCAGCCTTTACAAGAAAATTCTGGGATCAATTACTAATGTCTGCCATTGGCACTGAAGGGGAAATAGCATGATGCCATTTAAGTGCAAATCCTGTATTAGAAGTAAATATCAAAATAAAAATTTTTTATTCCTATTTGATGCCAGGTCATTGGTTTCCTTATGACGTTCCTCTTCAAACTTTCATTCACATGCTCCCTAAAAGATTTTTGAAAATCTTTGTATCCTTTCACTTTTTCAGTTGACATCTAAAATTCTTCATCATAAGTTCCAAGAGTCACTAAGGGTGTAAATTATAGGGTATTATAAATACCAATATTCTAAAATAACTATTACTCCTTAAGTGTAGATAATAAATTTAAATATCATTTCATACCCACCATTATCCATTTTTAACATGAGCAATTTTTTTTCCAGTTACTTGCATATTTATTTAATCAACATTTACTGAGTAGCTTTATTTTCTTGGTGCTAGCAGCATAAGATATGCAGGATGAGTCCTGTATATATATATATATATATATATATATATATATATATATATCAATTTCAAAAATATGTATCAATATATCAATTTCAAAAAACAGGCAAAACTACTATTTTGTTTAGGGATGACTACGTAGGTGGTAAAATTATACATGAAAGCAAGAAAATGTCTATCATAAAATTCAAGGTGATGATTACATCGAGGAAAGGTGAGGGAAACATCACCTTCATCATCAAGAGAGAACACACACCCGGGGTAGTGCAGGCTTGGGCCAGGTAGCCCATCCTTCTACACATTTTTAGACTGCCTGAGTCTCTTTCACATAGAAAAAAGTGACGGCATAGATATGAACTGAAAACATACAGTGTGTGCCAGAATAGGGGAATTTTTGCACTTGAAGGATGCAAATGATGTGCACTCCTTTTTAAAAAAATGATTTTATATTTGCTTATTGACTAAAGATTTGGTTCTTTTATGTCTTCTTAGATTTCCCTTATGTTATCCAAAATGTTATTTTAAGTTCCAGGATACATGTGTAGAATGTGCAGGTTTGTTACATAGGTATACATGTGCCATGGTAGTTTGCTGCACCTATTGACTCAGACTCCAAGTTCCCTCCCCTCGCCCTTACCCCCCAATAGGCCCTGATGTGTCCCCTCCCTGTGTCTATGTGTTCTCATTGTTCAACTCCCACTTATGAGTTACAATATGTGGTATTTGGTTTTCTGTTCCTCTGTTAGTTTGCTGAGGATGATGGCTTCCAGCTTCATCCGTGTCCCTGCAAGGAACATAATCTCATTCCTTTTTATGGCTGCATAGTATTCTGTGGTATATATGTACCACAATTTCCTTATCCAGTCTATCATTGAGGGCATTTGGGTTGGTTCCATAACTTTGCTATTGTAAATAGTGCTACAACAAACATACATGTGCGTGTATCCTTATATTTATAACTGCTGGGTAAAATGGTATTTCTGGTTCTAGATCCTTAAAAGGATCACCATACTGTCTTCCACAATGGTTGAACTAATTTACATTCCCACCAACAGTGTTTAAATGTGTCCCTATTTCTCTATGGCCTCACCAGTTTCTTGACTTTTTAATAATCACTGTTCTGACTGGCATGAGATGGTATCTCATTGCGGTTTTGATTTGCATTTCTCTAATGATCAGTGATGTGTTGATTCTTTTTCATATGTTTGTTGGCTGTGTGATATGGTTTGGTTCTGTGTCCCCACTCAAGTCTCATATTGAACTGTACTCCCATAGTTCCCACATGTTGTGGGAGGGTCCCAGTAGGAGATAATTTGAATCAAGAGGGCAGTATTCCCCATACTATTCTCATGGTAGTGAATAAGTCTCATGAGATCTGATGGGCTTATCAGGGGTTTTGCTTTTGCATCTTCATTTTTCTCTTGCTGCCACCGTATAAGAAGTGCTTTTCACCTCCCACTATGATTCTGAGGCCATCTCAGCCATGTGGAACTGTAAGTCCAATTGAATCTATTTTTCTTCCCAGTCTTGGGTATGTCTTTATCAGCAGTGTGAAAATGGACTAATACAGTAAATTGGTACCAGTAGAGTGGGGCATTGCTGAAAAGATACCCAAAAATGTGGAAGCAACTTTGGAACTGGGTAACAGACAAGGGTTGGAAGAATTTGGAGGGCTCAAAAGAAGACAGGAAAATATGGGAAAGTTTGGAACTTCCTAGAGACTTTTTGAATGGCTTTGACAAAAATACTTATAATGATATGGACAATGAAATCCAGGCTGAGGTGGTCTCAGATGGAGATGAGGAACTTGGGAGTTGAAGCAAAGATGACTCTTGTTATGTTTTATCAAAGAGACTGGTGGCATTTTGCCCCTGCTCTAGAGATTTGTGAAACTTTGAACCTGAGAGAGATGGTTTAGGGTATCTGGGCAGACGAAATTTCTAAACAGCAAAGCATTCAAGAGTTGATTTGGGTGCTGTTAAAAGCATTCAGTTTTTAAAGAGAAACAGCATAAAAGTTTGGAAAATTTGCAACCTGACAATCGATAAAAAGAAAATCCCATTTTCTGAGGAGAAATTCAAGCCAGCTGCAGATATTTGCATAAGTAACAAAGAAGCAGTTGTAAATCCCCAAGACAATGGGGAAAACATCTCCAGGACATGTCAGAGACTTTAGCAAGCCAACATTCAAATCCAGGAAATACACAGAACACCACAAAGATATTCGTCAAGAAGAGCAACCCCAAGGCACATAATCCATCAGATTCACCAGGGTTGAAATAAAGGAAAAAATGCTAAGGGCAGCCAGAGAGAAAGGTCGAGTTCCCCACAAATGGAAGCCCATCAAACTCACAGCAGATCTCTTGGCAGAAACCCTACAAGCCAGAAGAGAGTGGGGGTCAATATTCAACATCCTTAAACAAAAGAACTTTCAACCTAGAATTTCATATCCAGCCAAACTAAACTTCATAAGTGAAGAAAAAATAAAATTCTTTACAGACAAGAAAATTGCTGAGAGATTTCATCATCACCAGTAGTTCCTTTCCATGTTTAGTGCTTACAAGAGCTTGTGAAAGAAGCACTAAACATGGAAAGAAACAACCAGTACCAGCCACTCCAAAAATGTACCAAAATGGTAAAGACCATCAGCACAATGAAGAAACTGCATCAACTAACAGGCAAAACAACCAGCTAACATCAAAATGGCAGGATCAAATTCACACATAACAATATTAACCTTAAATGTAAATGGGATAAATGCCCCTATCAAAAGACACAAACTGGCTAATTGCATAGAGTCAAGACCCATCTATGTGCTGTATTCAGGAAACCCACCTCATGTGTAAGGACACACGTAGGCTCAAAATAAAGGGATGGAGGAATACTTACCAAGCAAATGGAGAGGGAAAAAGCAGGGGTTGCAATCCTAGCCTCTGATAAAAAGGACTTTATACCAACAAAGACAAAAGAGACAAAGAAGGGCATTACATAATGGTAGAAGGATCACTGCAACAAGAAGTGTTGGCATATATATATGCCCCCAATACAGGAGCACACAGATGCATAAAGCAAGTTCTTAATGACCTACAAAGGCACTTAGACTCCTACACAGTAATAGTGGGAGACTTTAACACTCCACTGTCAATATTAGATCAACAAGACAGAAAATTAACAAGCCACAGCAATCAGGTAAGAAAAAGAAATAAAGGGTATTCAAGTAAGAAAGGAGGAAGTCAAATTGTCTCCATTTGCAGATTACATGATTGTATACTTAGAAGACACCACCGTGTCAGCCCAAAATCTCCTTAAAAAGCAACTTCAGCAAAGTCCTAGGATACAAAATCAATATGCAGAAATCACAAGCATTCCTGTACACCAATAACAGACTAACAGACAGCCAAATCAAGAGCGAACTCCCATTCACAATTGCTACAAAGAGAATAAAATAGGAATACAACTAACAAAGGATGTAAAGGAGAACTATAAACCACTGCTCAAGGAAGTAAGAGAGGAAAAAAACAGATGGAGAAACATTCCATGTTCATGGTTAGGAGGAATCAATATCATGAAAATGGCCATGCTGCCCAAAGTAATTTATAGATTCAATGCTATCCCCATCAAGCTACCAATGACCTTCTTCACAGAACTGGAAAAAAAAAAAAAACCCTAACATATGGAACCAAAAAAGAGCCTGCATAGCCAACACAATCTTAAGAAAAAGAACAAAGCTGGAGGCATCACACTACCCGACTTCAAACTATACTACAAGGCTACAGTAATCAAAACGGCATGGTACCGGTACCAAAACAGAGATATAGACCAGTGGAGCAGAACAGAGGCTTCAGGTGCAATACCACATATCTACAACCATCTGATCTTTGACAAATCTGACAAAAACAAGCAATGGGGAAAGGATTCCCTGTTTAATAAATGGTGTTGGGAAAACTGGCTAGTCATGTGCAGAAAGCAGAAACAGGACCCCTTCCTGAGACCTTACACTAAAGTTAACTCCAGATAGATTAAAGATTTAAACATAAGACCTAATGCCATCAAAACCCTAGAAGAAAATCTAGGCAAAACTATTCAGGACACGCGCATAGGCAAAGGCTTCATGACTAAAACACCAAAAGCATTGGCAACGAAAGCCAAAATAGACAAATGGGACCTAATTAAATGCTAGAGCTTCTGCACAGCAAAAGAAACAGTCACTAGAGTGAATCGGCAACCAACAGCATGGGAAAAAATTTTTGCAATCAACCCATGTGACAAAGGGCTAATATCCAGAATCTACAAAGAACTAAAACAGGTTTACAAGAAAAAAACAAACTCATCCAAAAATGGGCAAAGGATATGAACAGATACTTGTCAAAAGAAGACATATATGAGGCCAACAAACATGAAAAAATGCTCGTCACCATTGGTCATTAGAGAAATGCAAATCAAAACCACATTGAGATACCATCTCACTCCAGTTAGAATGGTGATCATTAAAAAATCTGGAGACAACAGATGCTGGAAAGGATATGGAGAAATAGGAACACTTTTACACTGTTAGTGGGAGTGTAAATTAGTTCAACGATTGTGGAAGACAGTGTGGCAATTCCTCGAGGATCTAGAAATAGAAATTCCATTTGACCCAGGAATCCCATTACTGGGTATATACCCAAAAGATTATAAATCATTCTATTATAAAGACACATGCACACATATGTTCATTGTGACACTGTTTACAATAACAAAGACCTGGAACCAACCAAAATGCCCATTGATGATAGACTAGACAAGGAAATGTGGCATATATACACCATGGAATGCTATGCAGCCATAAAAAATGATGAGTTCATGTCCTTGTAGGGACATGGATGAATCTGGAAACCATCATTCTCAGCAAACTGACACAAGAACAGAAAATCAAACACCGCATGTTCTCACTCATAGGTAGGTGTTGAACAATGAAAACATATGGACACAGAGAGGGGAGCATCACACACTGTATCCTGAGACTTTGCTGAAGTTGTTTATCATCTTAAGGAGTTTGGGGGCTGAAATGATGGAGTTTTCTAAATATACAATCATGTCATCTGCAAACAGGCAATTTGACTTCCTCTCTTCCTATTTCAAAGTCCTTTCTTTCTCTCTTACAATTTCCATGTTATTGTGTGTTTTTGAGTGAGTTTCTTAATCCTGAGTTCTAATTTGATTGCACTGTGGTCTAAGAGACTGTTGGTTATGATTTCAAGTTCTTTTGCATTGAGTGATATAATTTTATAACGGAAAACTTACATCACTCCTTTTTCTTCTTGACTAGCTTCTACTTGTTCACAAGATTTTATCCTAATGTAATTTTATTTGCTTAAATGTCTTCTATTGATCACCCTCTCTGTAATAAAATATGTATATTATTTAAATTATTTTTGAATATTTGGTAACTTTAAGTGTTTAAATTTTTTCTCCAGAGTTGTGTTATCCTTATAATTATTAAAACTTGTCAAAATAACAAATATATTAAAGTTTTTACCTATTATTAAACAAATGCTTGTTAAAAATAGAAATGGCATCTTGCTGCACCGCTCAGGCTAGCCTCAAACTCTTTGGCTCAAACCATCCTCCTGACCGCAGCCTCCCAAGTAGATGAGACTATTGCACCCACCTCATAAATGCAATTTTTAAAAAAGAAACTACATCTCTGAATGAGATTAGTGAAGTTTTTAAATTGCTGAGATTTTAATTTCAATTAGTTCATCTATCTTTGGATAAAAATTACTTATTACTAGACTAAGACAGAGTTTAGGAGCTGTTAAGCATATTGTAAAAGACTTTGACATGGGTAAGGAGATTCTTTGGTTTCCTTTGAATGAAAAGCTGGGTGTTGTCTAGCAGGACTCTCCTCCCACCAGCAGGTGTTCTGATTCTATAAGGGTACATGCCTTTGATGGACTTTGACAGTTTATTTTATAACTCTGTACACTGTAGCAAGTTGAAAGTAAAGAAAATGATGCTTGTCCATGAAAATATAAACTAGTTTTGACTGATAAACAATTGACGCCTGCTCTTCAGAAAACAATTCTAAACATCAGATTTCTTTTCTCTTTAAGATAAAAACCAGTTCTACATCTCTTAGCAGATTCATTTTAGCATTCATGATTGCCTATATACATGTAATATTTTTCCTTTATGAAAATTATCCTGTAACAATAAATTATGTTTCTACCTTTAATTGTTATAGACAAAAGCACTAGTAACTTTGTTAAAACATCTGTGGTGATGGGAATGGAAGGAGTTTGGCTACAGTGATGACCCAATTCTTTAACTTCTAAATTATATGTCAAATTTCATATTAAATAATCTACAATCAAAATTTGTAATGATCTTACATCTGAAAATTCAATTTAGTTCTCCTTCAATTTTGAAAGCAAATAATTGGAAACCTTCAAGTCAACAAAGGTGTGTTGAAAAAAAGAATTGGAAGCCATCTGACTCACATCTACTAGCCATTGGTCATTTGCTTTCTCAAAGTCATTATTTTGAAATCTCCCCTTGTTTGGACACTGGAAGTGTTGATATCGTGAGACAATGTACCATAGTAAGGCCTAAAATGGTGACAAATATTTATTTATTTTGTCAAGTGGGAGAAGGCTTATTATAAATAGGGAAGTAGAGAGAAGGCCACAGGCTTATTTTAAGAGCGGGAAATTTTAGGAGAGAAAATATTTATGAGTTGAGGATATGGATACTGATTCCCTTAAAAGTACCCTGGAAAGTCTTTGCCAACTATCTTGAATATGTATGTCCAGTGTGAAGAGCACTCCTTTAAGTCGTAAGGGAGAAAAGCAACCCCCTTTAGAAGCAGTTGAATTCAACAGAACCAGTGGAAGAGTTCTCACAACTTTGACTATGCTTCCCAGTTCCAAATCCTTGCCACTTTTCTGACATTCTTCCAGTATCCATTCTGCTGAACTCTAGGTTTCTTCCAGCAATATCTGCACAAGCCTTAGCTGCTTTGCCTCTGGGATATGGAGTAACTTGGTTTTTGATTCACTGATTCCCTGAACTTACCCTGACCCCTTTGGTTTGCCTTTCTGTGCAACCTCCCATTATGCCAGAGAGTATTTACAGAATGTTTTTTAAGCTTTGCCCTCCAAAGCTTTTATGGATAAAAACATGGGAAAGTAGAGGTCACAGCCCAAAATACCTCCACAAAGAGCACAAATTTATTAAATGTTATGTTTTAACATACTTTTTCATTTGAACTTTGCATTTTATTTCATCATTTACCAACATTCATCTTAGTTTTCCAGGATATTTTAAAGTACTTGCCACTGAATAAAATTATGCTGGAAAAAGACATGTCAGGATTTTCTGATGCCTTAGAGCATTTCTTTGCATTCCACCAGGAAGATCTGTTTAAGAAGTGTATCATGAAGACATTTAAAACAATGACTGACACCCACTGGACCAGCCTTAGCAGAGAGCAGGCCCCAAGAGAATAAAGCACAAGTTAGATAAGTTTTAAAGTTGGGAAGAGGAAAAATAGGAAAGTTGGAAACATACAATCCTGCCCATTCCAGATGGACATTGTAGTGCAGTCCTGAACAGCTCTTGGGGAAAACATCCTGCAGCAACAGGTGCTGTAAAAAAGAAAGCACTAGAAAGCCATGGAGAAAGAAAAAAAAGCAAAGAATACAAAAGAGGTATACAAAGGATACAGTTAGATTATTCACGATTTTGAACAGCCATCCTCCAGAACAACAAAACTACTGGTGTTGTAAATAGCATATAAAACAGAGGAAACAGAGCCAACGCTTTTATTCAGACTTCTAAGCAGTGTAACGCTCCTTTGTTTTGTTTTGTTTTGTTTTGTTGTTTGTTTTGTTTTGAGACAAAGTCTCACTCTGTCGCCAGGCGCCAGGCTGGAGTGCAATGGCACAATCTCAGCTCACTGCAACCTCCGCCTCCTGGGTTCAAGCAATTCTCCTGCCTCAGCCTCCCAAGTAGCTGGGACTACAGGCGCACGCCACCACGCCCAGCTAATTTTTCTATTTTTAGTAGAGACGGGGTTTCACCATGCTGGCCAGGATGATCTCAACGTCTTGACCCCGTGATCCACCCGCCTTGGGCTCCCAAAGTGCTGGGATTACAGGCTTGAGCCACCGCGCCTGGCCGCTCCTTTGAAATGATAGCTTCACTCAGACAGCCCCTGAGTCAGTAGAGATTAGGAGGTAGTAAAAGAAA